AATCAGACAACTATTTGTTGAATTGCCTAATTAGTAAACATGATACTATGCTAGACACTGCATGAGCAGGCTGAGAAAACAGAAAACAAACACACTCGAGATTTAAAATTAAAAGGTACTAATGTTCAGACTTGTTCAAGTGTTTTATATACATTATCACATTTGATTCTCATAGAAGCTACCATTATTCTATTTCTCTGTTTTTACCCATTTTTAGATAAGCAAACTGAAAAACAAGGCTCTTAGATCATTTTACTTAGGATCACATGGTTGGCGATTAGGAGAGGAGGGATATTAAGACTCTAACAATTTAGAGGAGAAAGAATGTGATGAGAAGTAGTATGCGGAGGAGGAGAGGGTAAGAGAGGAGGGGAATCCATAGCATTTGAGCTGTAGCAGGAAAAATGGATAAGAAACAGGAGTGCAAAAGCCGTGTAGCTAAAGGATATCCTGAGGATCAAGAGCATAGAGAAACCTGAGCAGATTTCTCTGGAGGAAGAACAGAGCCTTATCATTCTTCATTCAACAAAAATATCTGGAACATCTAACATGTGTTAGATATTGTTTGAGTGCAAAGAATATGGAGGTGAATAAAACAGGTAAAATCCTGCCCTGAAAGAATTCACATTTTAGTCAGGGGGACTCAGAAAATAAAGTAGATAATAAACAAGTGAGTGAATAAGTAACAATGAGTAAGTAAATAAATGAATTATCAGAACTGCGAAGAAAGATGGAGTACCAGGGGGAAGTTTCTATTGGGTAGTCAGAGAGGCCTCGCTAAGGAAAAGACATTTGAACTGAGTCTGTTAGAGAAGGAGCTAGACATGAGAAGAGCCAAAGAGACAAAAAATCAGGAGGGAAGAATTAAGTGTGCCTTAGGACATTTCTGACATACTCCCAGAAGACAGATAAACACCAATTTTCATTTCTACTCTTCCTTGTCTCTTCTCCTCTCCATGCCACTTGCCTCCAAGAAAAATTCTTTCTCCTTCTAAGTTTTATACCTTTACTATATCCCATTTGAAACATCATGTGTTAGAAAGTGTCTGGGTATCTCCTAAATGAAAACAAACAAACAAAAAAGATAAATCAGGAATCAGAAGAGATTCTATCTTAAATTGATTTCGAGTTCAAGCCAATTTTGGAAAAAAAAAAAAAAACCCTCAATGAAATCTGTTTTGATTACTCAGTTGT